TTCCTTTTGTGATCTGATGAGGCTTCTTGTCACAGAATGAGGCAGAAAATATGTTCCATATGCTACTTTGAAAATAATACATCAATTAGCAATAGATTATAAATTAGGGTGACCATTCATCCTCTTTTCCCTGGACATGTCCTCTTTTTGGACCTACAAAAATGTGTCCGGCCGGGATTTCTTTATTGCCCAAAATGCCCGGGATTCGTCTGTTTTCTTAATCCCACTCCCGCTGAATCTCTGACCATTGCCGTCTGCTCCCGCTACATGTGTTTCGCTCCCGCGATTTTCGTGTCAACATTCTAATATTGTATATAATTTTGGCGCATCAGGGAGCCGCTCTCAGGATGCGGTGTATTTAAATATTTTTGAATGAGCCTTTGCGCTGTTTACTTTCACTTTCGATTTCGCAATCACACGCTCTCTGTGTAAAGGGAGCACATCTAGCAAGATCAGATATTTGTCAGTGAGCTCAGAATCTGTTGAGCAGCAAATACTCCAGCATGGTCTTGACAGTCATCTATCCTTATTCTCGACCTGTGTCAGTCAAAACTGACTCCGATAGCTCTTGTTGGATGCAGGGTTGCCAAGTCCGCATTTTTTCCACAGAATTGGGCTACTTTTAAACTGTTGCCATGGGTTGATTTTCCCAAGTGGGTCAAAGGTTTGAAATATTGCATAAATTACATTTGACTGAAATGCTTGTATTGAAACATTTTGCAGAAAAAAGAGCCTCTAACACTAGCATTCTCTATTCTTTCCACTTAATTTCTTTTTATTTATTATAAATAATGACCTTCTAACACTAGCATTATCTGTTATTTTTCTGTTCTATTGAATTGTTTTCTTTTTATTTATTATAAAAACTAAATAAGCAACAAAAAAAACAACAACCTTGCTATGTATACTGTTAGGTGAACCCCGCCCCCTACTGTCCTTTTTTTGGAAAACTAAAATATGGTCACCCTATTATAAATATACTTAATTATTATGAAAATACCAGAGATGGCTTAAATAACACAGATAAACTATATTGTCGCAGTCAGGTGTTTAATGTCTTTGTTTTATCATTCAAAACGTTTATATGTTCTGTTTACTCAGTTACAGACAGTGTTGGGGGTAACGCATTACAAGTAACGCGAGTTACGTAATCAGATTACTTTTTTCAAGTAACTAGTAAAGTAATGCATTACTTTTTAATTTACAAGAGAATATCTGAGTTACTTTTTCAAATAAGTAACGCAAGTTACTTTTTTTTTCCAATTTATTGATTGACAGCTGAATCTCCTGTCCCCAGATGTTACTGTAGTTATAAAATAAATATGAATATGCATTAATTCATCTCACTCACAAAAAAAAACTAAACAGATTCAGTACTCAAAATGAATAAAAATAATGCAACTCAGAATATGACGCAAACCTGCAATAATTTAATGTTAAACAACACAAATATCCTTTATGTATTTAATCACATTCAATTAACCATGAAGCAATGTTTTTGCTTCTGACCTTCGATGATCCAGTTCAACCATACTAATAAGCAAGAATTACTCTAGACAAACATTTGTGTGTCTTTGTTTATTCCTGAAGTGTGTTGAAATTTCTTCTTCTGCATTCTACTGTACGGACGTAAATTTACTTTCGCTTCAGCCTGAGCAGCACTCAGTGATTCATTTCACTTTTGGTGTGAAAATGCTTTTATATTTGCCAAAAATATAACTTTTTTATTTTAAAAACAAACAAGCAAGCCCTGTCCAGATTTAAAAAGTAACGCAAAAATAACGTAACGCATTATTTTCCATAAAAAGTAATGTAATAAGTTACTTTTTTATGGAGTAACGCAATATTGTAATGCATTACTTTTAAAAGTAACTTTCCCCATCACTGGTTACAGATATAATAGCAATGCCTTTGTCCATATAAGGGATTTCCTTAATCAGTTCTCTACTTCTGTGACTGGATATATGGATTTTCTGTGCGAGGGTGCCCTCTGGCGTCCAGTAAGATTGAAACAGAGATTATGTGCTTATAGTGCTAATGGCCAATCCATCATTTTTGATGGGAATTTTTATTTATTTATTTATTTATTTATTTCAGGCACTGTTTAGGCACCGGAACCGTTTTAAAAGTATCGATTTGGCACCGGTTTCGAAAAAAACAAAAACAATACCCAACCCTAATGCTATATGCGGGTTATTTCATGTATGTTATATTTGCAGCAGCAATATTTCTTACATGCTCACAGCAGCATGTTGTGGATGTGTTGGCAGTAGCAAGTCTCGGTACTTGCTCTGCCGCAGCAGCAGCAGCAGCATAAGCAGATCTATTCCGCCAAGATCAAATACATTAACATTGTCATGTACATTACCATGCCAATCCCTCCGTGAGTTGTCATGACAGAAATATAATTAATATCTAGTTTACTTGCTATAAGGGTTTGATGCCATGAACCTCGATTTAAAATTTGAAACTCACCCTTGTTTCAAACCTGTATGTATGAAGTTTTGGAGCGTAAAAAATAAAGAAAATTAAATTAAAGAAAATAATCTAGAAGTTTCAAATTTTGTAGAATTTAGAATTTTTTAATTTTTATGACCGCTCTGCATCATTTAATGAACGTGAATGAGAACTCAAGCATTTAAAAGGATGCAAAAGCATCCTTTTAATATATACAGTACACACACACACATATTTACTTTTATTATATTGAAAAAGAAATCACCTTTTGTGCCCCCCACAAGAAAGTCATGCAGGTTTGAAACACCATGCGTAAAAAAGTGAGTGAGGAAAAAAATACAGTCAGATAGTCAGATTGGAATGGGTGATTTCAATCTGCTCTTGCTATTTTTGTGTGAAATATACATTAGAAGGCCTGAGGCTGAGACTAGATAGTGTTGATGAACAGTAATTGGATTTGGATGATGTTTGATGATCTCCATCTGCTGGTCATAATAAGCTAATGCATCACTCCTACTCTGACCTAAATAAGCTAGATAACAAGATTAGTTTAAAGAAAATCTGGGGCAAACTGTTTAGCTTGAAAGTAGAAGTGTGTTGAAAGTAATGAGCTACTGGAGAAAGAACTTCACACTTTACATTTTTAATGTGCATGTTGGCAGGTTCAAGGTGTAGATGTGAGTGATTTTACTCATGAAGAAGCCGTAGAGGCGATCCGTAGAGCAGGAGACAAAGTAGAACTACTAGTACAGAGTCCTCAGGTACAGCACAGATACTGTACACATGCACACACATAACCACTTTACAATACTCATACTCAGTGCTAGAATATACTCTAGAGAAAACAAAACCTAAACAAAACTCTAGAGTACATAAAACATTTATTGCCTCTCTATGTCCAGTTTTCAGCTCCTGACAACTGCTCTGAAGATGAAAATGTGTCAAAATTAAATTCTCCAAATCATCAGGTGTGTTTTTGCTTATGCTACTGTGTTCATTATTAGTGTATTTTAGGTGTTTTATGTATGCTTATCTCATCTTTAGGATCCCGAGATCCCGAATAATCTCTCCCCAATCTACCCCTTCAGTCTCATCCCCTTTAAGGTCTGTGATGTTTGTTTCCATAGTAATAATCCAATATATTTGTATATAAATAACATCTCGGTTACTTGTGTAACCCTCGTTCCCTTTCAGTCAGTCACGTTCTACGTTACGTCAGTCGTGACTGACGAATTGGGATCTCGCCCGAGAGCCCAATCACCTTCGCGGGTTAACTAAACAAGCCAATGACAGTTGGCGTGCGTGTTTCGCCACGCGCACCCCGCCC